CCACATGCCAGCCAGCCCCGCCCCCTGGTGGGCTGAGCTGGCCACACACACACACACACACACACACACACAAATAAATAAAAATTAAAAAAAAGATTAGAAATTAGATTCTTAAATGCATTTACTGGGTGAGGTTTATTTTTAAAAGTCAAATCTTTTTGCCTTCTGGATAATATTTATGAGGAAAAGCAGCACACACATTACACACTGACATTTAAAAAATATTTAAAAGTGTAATCTAAGAGCCTGAAAGAGTAAATAAAATCCAAAAGGTACAATAGATACTGTGAAAGGGAAAGAAACTGCTCAAAAGGACAGAATAACTGGGATGGGGGAAAGGAGAGAAAAAAAGAAGGAAGGGGAAAAAATCATATATAGAGAGACACACTCAAGATAGCTAAGATAATTGTACTACTAATTTCTACTGGTTTATTGAAAGAGACAGTTAATACTTAATGTTTTTGAACAATTTTATGTTTATATCTGGTACTCTGGCAACTACTTTGAAGAGAACAAGACATAATATAACAACCATTGTTCAATTCCTATCATCTTGTTTTTTGAAATTCTGTATCATTTCTAATGTTTTATTATTTTTTTATTGTCTTTAAAATAAAAAAAGTAAACTTTTCTTTTTTTTTTTTTTCAGAACCAGGGATTGAACTCAGGCCCTTGCACTTCCCAGGCAAGCACTTATTCTACTGAGCTATCTTTCCGGCCCCAAAAAGTAAACTTTATGGGTAAATAAAAATATTTTTTTCAATAACCAAAACTAAATCACCATGGAAATAAAATAGTTATTAAAGGGTAATAATAATGCTCCATCATGCATTATAAGATTTAAAGTTTTCTACAGGACATAAAGAATGGGCCTGTTATATAGATTTACTACATAATACACTTTTGTAAAAACTGTAAATCTTCAGGTTAGAGGATACTATCAGAATTAGGAATAAATGAATTTCTGTCAGATCAAGAACCTAGAAGAGTTGAAGGAAAGAGCTCTGAAGTGAACTGAGGGGAAAGCAGAATGGCAGCCGGAGGCTGTGTACTGATTCCTTCAATGAAATGAACACAAACACAGCACTATGTACTGTGACCCAGAGGAGGGTGGGGGTCGTGGCGTGCGAAAAGTGAACGTGAGCCTAGACGCTGACTGCACTGCACACATGTGACAGCCTCGGCCATGGGTACTTAGGGTCTAATAAGGAAAATGACAAGGAAAACAAAAGTTAAGACAGTGAGATAACTCTACAGAGAGAGAGGGGGAGAGAAAGCGCCCTCCTTGGAGACTGGGCAGGAATGCTAACATGCGCTTGTCATACAAGGAGAGCAAGACCTGGCTGGCAAATCACCATGCCTTACGTACCTCAGAACAAAAAGGAAATTTCCCACAGACACAGAAGTGAAATATGGAGCAATATTTATTGGATGGCCATGGCTTTTGTTGATTTTGCGGCTACTCTGTAGGAAGGGATTAATAAATGATGTGGCCAAAGAATTGGCCCTGAAAAGCTGAGGGAAAGCACAGGCAGGAAGGAGAGCAGATAAGGGAACTCCACGAGGACCCCCTGCAAAGGGCTCAGAAGCAGCCAGCGGGCTCTGGGGAGGTCTGCTGAGAAAAGTTTCAGGTTCTAAACAAGGGCATGGAGGCTGGGCAGACTTGTCACTCAGGAGCTCGGGAGGCTAAGGCAGGAGCACTGAGAGCCCAAGGCCAGCCTGGGGCACACTTCACATTCAAGACTAGTTTGGGGGGCTGGTGAGATGGCTCAGTGGTCTAAAGCACCTACTTAGAACAAGCTAAGCTAAGCAAAAGCACAGCGACCCTGGTTCAATCCCCAGCACCACATGCCAGCCAGCCCCGCCCCCTGGTGGGCTGAGCTGGCCACACACACACACACACACACACACACACAATAAATAAATAAATTTAAAAAAAAATAAAATAAATAAATAAATAGACTAGTTTGGGCTATCTATCAAGGCTCTCTTAGCTAATATTAAAAACATATAAAGAACTGAAAAACCTCAGACCTCCCAAATTTAAAGACCTAATCCAAAAAGGACACCAGCGATGAATACACACTTCTCAGAGGAAGAAATACAAAGGGTAAATAAACATATGAAAAAGTGTTCAACATCATTGATTATTCGAGAAATGCAAATTAAAATAACACTGAAATTCCATCTCACCCCAGAAAGAATGGCTATTATTAAGAAATTAACCAATGAAAAATGCTACTGGGGAGGGCATTGGAAAAGAAAAAGAGGAATCAAGATATAGCAGGGAACAAGTACAAATTCCCTATGATGAATGTGACCATTATGTATATTTACATTGCACAAATAAACTTAATGAAAATGACTGCTTTAGAAAACCAAACCAATTGGGGGACCACCTGGGGCCCTCCAGATCCTCACTCCAGGCAACACCCAGGCCAGGCATGTGTGTGGAATTTCCTTCATCAGACAATCTGGGTATGGAACTCTGCTGCAGAATTTCTGCAGAGAGGCTACAGGCAAGACCCACGCAGCTGATTCAGGAACAGAACATCTTGCAGAGTGGCACAGAGGCTTCACCTCCAAGGGTTGCAGCAGGAAGAAGTGGAGCACAGCAGCCAGCCCCAAGCCACACCCACCTGGATGACTTTGAACTTGCTAGATATGGACCTGATGCTAAGGCAATAAGTCTACCAAAGCTCTACACCAAAGATCGGAAGACAGTGCTACACAAAATGGCAAAGAGGAGGAACAAAATTCATTCCCAGGCCCTGAGCCCACCCAGAACAAATGCAGGAGACAATAGCATAGAAGAAATTGGAAATCACACACCTGAAATCTCTGAAACAATAGTGTCTGAAGAAACAACTGCAGAAAGGTAGAGAGGAAATCAGATTAGAAATAATTCCTGAAGTTAAAAAAAATGATAACTATCATGAAAGAAGTACAGTGCTTCTAAAGAAGGCACTGATAAAAAAAATAGAGGAGAATAGAAAAATGATGGAATCCTTGAATGAGCAAAATAGGCAAGAAATAAATTGCATGCAGCAGATTCAAAGGGATATACAGGAAATTAAAATCTCAATCACAAGTTGGCAAAACTGTTTGAATGAAAGTGAAAATAGACTTTCAGACCTTGAAGACACTATTGTAGCTAATGAAAAAGTAAGAAAATATCTCTTAAAAACAACTAGGATGATAGGGTTGGGGAGATGGCTCAGTAGGATAAGCGCTTCCCTGGCAAGTGCAAGGGCCTGAGTTCAATCCCCAGTTCTGCCCCCAAAAAACAAAAACACTAGGATGCATGAAAAAATAATTCATCTCCTGCAAGATGATGCAAAGATGAACAATGTGAGACTAACAGGCATCAATGAGAAAAAAGGAGTC